TGAGTTTACCTGAAGGTTGGACAACTGAGTGAAGGCTTTTTCACAGCCAGGATGGTTGCACTTGTACGGTCGGTCACCAGTGTGAATCCTACAAAACATCATTGACATGGGGAGAGAGAGGGGGAGAGAGAGAGAGAGGGGGACAGAGAGAGAGAGAGGCAACGTCAGCACAGACTATTGTCCATGTACACACTGGCTAACGAGAACCTCGACAACTGCAGCCCCAGGTGGTCACAACAAAACCTACAGTAGCCTACGTACAGCTGTGTTGGCAAGAATCTGACGATACGATACAATACGATACGATACGATGTACTGCGATCTACAGAGATACTGTACGAAGGACAGTATATATGAGTTCAGAATCAGATTGTTCCAGAGAGATTTTCACCTACGAGGAATTAAATTAAATTAATGAAAAATAACATGAACCGACGCCATTAATACTTGACCGTTAATTTAAAAAAAAGAAATGGACTCAGTTCTGTAGAATATCAATACGACATCGTGAGACGATATTTCAGCGTATTGATATTTTCCTACAGCCCTGGAAACTCTTTGCTCTGGTCACGTTGGGACAAATGTTGTGGGTGTCCCAGGTGACCCAGATGTGGCCCGGGCGGTCCTGATACTTAGTCCGGTCGGTTCAGAGTTGGTCAGGTCAAGGTGGAAGAAGGAAACACAGACTAAACACGTTTACAGTCAGACACCTGCTCCCACACATGCAGACATTAAAACAATAAATAAATAAAAACCCCATTCAAATCCACTCAGCCCAGAGCGGACCGGACCAGTACCGTGTGTGCTGCTGTAGGTGACTGAGCTGCCTGAATGTTTTCTGGCAGTAGGAGCAGGTGTAGGGCTTGGCCCCAGTGTGGATGCGGATGTGCTGGGACAGGTAGCTGGAGTTGGCGAAGGACTTGGAGCAGTGGGGACACTTGTGGGGCTTGGCCTCCGTGTGGTTTCTAACACCAGAGAGCCGGGATTCCCAGAGTTGGAGGGAGGGTTGGAGAAGAGGTGGGGGAGGAAGGGGGGGAGAGACAGAGAGACAGAGAGACAGAGAGAGAGAGGAACACACAGAGAGAACAGCGAGAGATTTTTTTAGGCTACAGCATGACCAGAATTCATGATTATGTGAAATCATGCGCTAAAGTCAGCAGGATCTGTGGTCACTGGTGTTGATCAGTGACCAGTGACTCTGACAGTGTGCTCTTTGTGCTGTGTCTGAGTTGTGGAAACACAGAACAAAAACATACAGCAAGCACAGTCACGCTTTTCTCTCTCTCTCTCTCTCTCTCAGTCTCAGCCTCTCTCTCTCTCAGTCTCAGCCTCTCCGGTTCGTTGCTCTGCAGTATATGTGTCTGACTCAATGCAGTTACACTCAAATGGTCTTTTTTTTTTGTTTTTCTTTCATGCAGGCGGCCGGCTTCTTCCTGATTCGATCTAATGAGCTGTAATCCAATCAGCTCTGGGGAAAAGCAGTTCATGGAAATGAAGAGCTGAATTCAAACGACGACACGTCGTCAGGTGTTGGTGTTGATGTGACGTGGAGAACCAAACCAACAACACCTCAACTCTCACCAGGGCCAGGTTAGCGTTAGCGTTAACAACGGCAGCAAAGACATTATTATTGTTTCAGTAGCTAACACCGCAGCATGTCGTTGATGTTCACGCACCAGGGACCGGTTTAACCTCGGTGGAACCAGAGGAGAACTAAGGTCTGAGAACAGACGGAATTACACATTTAAGACAGTAGGGGGTGCTGGCGTCACGAGAGCTCCACACCGTCAACACATGAACTCCCCACCACCGCACACATGCACATGCACAGACCCGATCCACCCAGCGTGCTCGGTACCGACGTGTGACAGAGCGGGACCAGTACCGTGTGTGCTGCTGCAGGTGGCTGAGCTGACGGAAGGTTTTCTGGCAGTAGGTGCAGGTGTAGGGCTTGGCCCCGCTGTGGATGCGGATGTGCTGGGACAGGTAGCTGGAGTTGGCGAAGGACTTGGAGCAGTGGGGACACTTGTGGGGCTTGGCCTCCGTGTGCGACTTGGCGTGGATCTGCATGTCCGACTTGCTGAAGAAAGTCACCGCACACATCCGACACCTTGGTGAGTGAAACAATAACACTTGTTACTGCACGAAGAGAGTTTGGTGTTAGAGCTGTGGAATCTGGAGATACGATACGTATCACGTGGTACGATATATTGTAATATATTGAGATACGATGGTCACGACTGAATATAAATAAGGCCCAGAATTAAACTCAAATAAAGGTCTAAAACAGTACCACGTGTTTCTGTGTGAGTCGTTAATGATTCTGAACTTTTTTAAATTTCTGAAATCTTCCATTTGAACAGTTCAGTTTGTTGAAACGTTGCTTTGTTTTAAAACATCTGTATTTGTGTATTTTTTAAAAAACAGAAGTACTTTTTATTCAGCCCAGTAGTTAGTACTCAGAGGTATTTTCTTCTACCTGTAGGATTTGGGGCCATCCTTCCCTGAATGATCGTCCTCATCGTTGGACAGGTCATAGGGGTCGGCAGCATGGTGCTGTAACACAATGTCAACACTGTCACTGACGACCAATCACATTCCACATCCTCATGTTGAGTATTCAGTACAGTAATAAGCCACGCACCTGTCCTCCCGCAGCTAGGTGTGCCAATATTAACGCATCACTTCCTGGAGGAAGGACCCCCCCGACTGCGCCCACTCTCCCCATCATCTGTTTGCTCTTCCTGCCTCGCTTGGAAGGCGTCGGCATGACGACGGCAGGTGGCGCAGCGTGGTCCTGCTTCGCCTTGTCTGGAGACGGGGAACGCCAAAAAAGGTAGTAGTTAGCCACAACGGTGTTCTACTGACACACGGTGGTCAAAACCATGTGTCGCGACGAACACGGAGACGCTGCACCTGTGTTTGAGGAGTGCACGGCGGACACGATCATGGTGGTGGCCGTGGGGTGTCCTGCTGCGAAGGACTGCGTGGAGGAGGTGGGCACCAGCGTGCCCTGAGGCGTGGTGATCACTAACCCTGCTGACAGAGGGCACAGGACCAGACATCGGAGTTCAACAGTCGAGAGTTGGCTTAGAAGTACAAAAAACAGGGATGTCCGATATTCACTTTCTGCAGATATGCCGATATTCTCCAAGCACTTAATTTCCAATTCCAATATCAACCGATACCGACGACGTAGCTCTGGTGATATTGATTTGTTTATCTGTTCAAACCACTGTATGAGTTGCTGACACCAGTCTGCATACGATTATTAAAATAGATTACTTAAATGAGCTGCAATGCTGCCATCTAGTGACTTTCACTTTCATGTACAGCCAGTTTTCCCCAAAACTATTTTCAATATTTATTATGCTAATATTGATCGGCCGATATTATCGGATATCCCTACCAAAAAAAACATCATCAATCTTATGATTATTATACAGTGTGTCAATGCATCACTTCCCCTAACGTCAGCCATCCAATCATACGTGAGCATCGTCTCAACTCTCTTCTTGTTTTTTTTTGCCTTGAAAAATACCAAAGAAACGACAGAGGGAGTTCATTTTCTCCCAAGAGAAGAAGTGTTTACCTGCAGTCATGATGCCGGTGGAGGGAACAGGCACCACGGTGACATTCTGGGATGTATGACACTGGTGAAGATGCCCTCCCACTGTACTATTACTGCTGCTGCTGCTGCTGTTGCTGCTGCTGCTTCCACTCCCTTCCTGTTTAGGCACCACCCGCAACCCAGCCCCCCCCTCCATTGAGCCCGGCAGGGCCAGGATTGCGGAGGGGTAGTGAGGGGAGGACGTGGAAGACATTGAAGGGTGAGGAAAGGAAGGCACGTTGGCCTTCTCTGGGCCCAGCTGCTCCTTTGCCTTGTTCAGGAACATGGCGTTCTCGATCTAGACAGAGTCGGGTCAGTAGTACGGAGGGAAGGAGGAGGTGAGGAAAGGGGGGCAGCAGGAAGGGTGGGATAATGGGAGTGGGAGAGTGAAGAAATTAGGACGGAAAGTGAAGAAGGGATGAAGTCCAAACAAGAAGGTAGGTGACGCAGGAAGACCAAGGAGGGAACAAGGATGGAGGAGACAGTCAAGTGGAAATGGAACCAATGATGGAAGATGAATGGATGAATGAATTAAAAAAAAAGGAGAGGAGAGAAGAGAAGAGGAGAGAAGTGATCGTGTGATCCAGCGACCCCTGGCTGCTGTCACAGACATTTCTACTCCATCATGGTTGTCATTACAAACATGTTCAGGCTCAAATCAATTCAAGTCTCTGTGGTTAGTGTTTAAACAGGAGCCGACTTCCCACATTTATCACATAAGCACCAAGCATGTGTATTTGAAGACAATTCCAACAATAAGGTTGTCTCTACCTGTCCTTGTACAGTGGGGACGGGAGACCAAAAGTATGATGAGTTGAAATGGGAATCGTCCATATTTTCTGTAATTAAAAAGCAACACACTTAGAAAACACCCGTCCTCTCCCTCCTCCTCCTCCTCCTCCTCCTCCTCCTCGCTCCTTAATGTCATCTGCTATGGTGAACCATGCACGGCTGATCTTCAACCATCTCACTCTGTTTCCTGGCTACGTGTCCTCTCCTCCACGGCCCGAGACACAGTCCAGAGTTGTGAATATCTGCGATCTGTCGGGACACGGCTCTCTTAACAATGAAATGGAAAAACCAATCGACCAATGGCGTGTGATCGGTTTGAAAGAGGAGAGGACGTCAAGAGGAATCAGGTGAAGATGATGAATCTCTCTAGGTCTGGAGAGCAAACAAAGGTCTGAAGGACAGCATCTCTGTGAAAGGACGACCTCAGAGACACTGTTGGACGGCTGGACGCCTCAAATACTTTCCACTCTTTCTGACGTACCTGGAACTACTCTCTGCTGATTGTACTGCAGTTTTCTTTTTGAGCTTTACTGCTGTCTTTTTTTGCATCAGTGTTTTAATGGCTCTGTCCTTTGGCTTCTAGGTTGGAATGAGGGATCAAAGTGACATCGTCGCTGTCTGCAGCAGCAGGTCTCACACACAGTATGTGTAAAAGGTTTTACACCTTTTAGTTCAC